CTCCACAGCAGCTGAACTGTTTCCAATATTTTGCAGATACAAGCAATGCTGCAATGATAAGATTGTGGTTATGTATCTCATACTGCAGAAGGATCTTGAGGGTAAATTCCTAGAAGTAGAATTGGCAGGTCAGAAAGTAGATGCATGGGTACCCTTGTTAGTCATTTCCAAATCCCCCTCTGAAAGGTTGCAGAACTTTTTATTTCCCATTAGCATGTATAGCAGTATTTACCCATGGTATTCCCAATAGAATGTATTGTCTAGCTGTTTGCATTTTTGTCAGTTTGAAAGGAAAACGACATCCCTGTGCAGTTTTAGATTACATTTCTCTAATTATGAGAAAGGTTGGTAATTTTTTCTTTTGCCCATTTTTCTTTAAAACTTTTGGTAGTTTTTCTTCAGTTTTTAAGATTAAAAAAAAATATATATATATATGCTAGGAATAGTATATTTTTTCCAGTTGCCTTTTTAAATTTTATTGTCATTATTTTTTGCTTTTAAACATGACATTTATTATCTTACAGTTGTGATATCGGAAGTCTGCTGTGAGTCTCACTGGGCTAATGACAAGGTGTCTGTGGGCCAATGCTCCCTCTGGAGGCTCCGGGGGAGAATCTGTTTCCTGGCCTTTTTTGGTTCTTCCCGCTGCTGCTGTGTTCTTTGGCTCCTTCCTCTGTCCTTACCAGAATCTTCAAATCTCTCTGACTCTGATCTCTGTCAGTAGCCTCTTGACTCCGTTCATGGTGTGTCATCGTTTTTAACCATTCTTTTATTGAAGCTAGTTTTGAGGTACAGTAACAAAGCCTTTTCCCCACACCCAGGTTATATTGGAATTCACAATTCACCCATGTGTGCTTCTAGAACTTGAGTGTTTACTTTTTTTTCTTTTTCTTTTTTTTTTTTTTTACATTCAGAGCCTCAATCCATTTTAGGTTCATTTTTATGTCTGGTCAGAGATACTGATTTAATTTTGTATTCTTTTCTCGAGGACATCAAAACTCTGTCTTAGATCCAGTGATTTGAGGTACTATGTTTGCAATTTATCCAATGTCCACATATACTTAGGTGTATTTCTGGACCCTCAGCACTCTCCCCCTGGCCTGTTTGGTCACACACCAGGAACACAGTCTCAATGATAACATGTTCTATGTCTGGCAATGATGGTAGCTTTTCCTTTCCAGTGAATTCCTAGTCTGATATATTTCTCCACATGAGTTTTAGCATCAACTTGTTCAGTTCCATCAGACACATTTATTGATTTTCTAAAAAAGATTTTATTAGAGAAAAGGAGAGAGCAAGCAGGAGTGGGGTGAAGGGCATAGGCAGAGGGAGAGGGAGGGGCAGACTCCTTGCTGAGCTAGGAGCCCAATGCAGGGCTGCATCCCAGGACCCTGAGATCATGACCTGAGCTGAAGACAGATGCTTCACTGACTGAGCCGCCCAGGCATCTTACTCAATGGAGTAGCACTAGAGTAGCACTTTCTTCTACTAAGATCAGAAGAAAACAAAAATGATGTCCACTATCTCTACAACTGTTCCACATTATTCAGTGGACGTGTTATCTACTCTCATTAGACAGGGAAATCAGTAAGTGGCCCAGAATTTTTAAATAAGTAAAACTATTTTTACTACAGAGGAAATAGTAATATACCTGGAAACCTCTAGGGAATTGCTGATAGAACTAACTTAAACAATAAATTCAGTAAGGATGGAGGAATAGGGATACCTGGGTGGCTCAGTGGTTGAACGTCTGCCTTTAGCTCAAGGCGTAACCTCGGAATCCAGGATTGAGTCCCATTTAGGGCTCCTTGCAGGGACCTGCTTCTCCTCTGCCTGTATCTCAGCCTCTCTGTGTCTCTCAGGAATAAATAGATAAAATCTTAAAAAAAAAAAAAAAGGATCCAGAAATGAAATGAACATGCAATTGCAGGGTGTGTGGATAGAAAAGATCCATTTGCAAACAAAAATAAAGAACAAACTTGACAAGAAAATGTGCAAAACCTAAATGAGAAAAACTTTGAAAGCCCAAACTTTGTTGGGTTTGGTAGATAAACTTCTTATTTCTGGCTAATTCAGTGGGTCACACATTACTGAGTACTTCCACCTGTACAGTGAACATGTGAAAATAAGCTTTGTTTTTTCTCCTGTAAATCTGTCTATTGTTAATTGTAGGCTCCCATTCACTGGACCGAAGTTGGAAGAAGAAAAGGTTTCCTCCAAAAACAGACAATGTGATTGTAGAACACTGTATGGAATGTACAAAAAGCTATTGGGAACCAGTAATTAAATTTAGCAAGTTGGCAGAACATGAGATCAATGACAAATACCAATTATATTTCCATGGGAAATCGAAACTATAAAAAATCATTCACAGTATCAACAAAAATGGTAACACTTAGGTTGGAATTTGAAATTTGACAAAAGTTGTAAAAGACTCATCCTCTGACTAGTACAAAACACTGATGAGAGTAATTAAAGAAGACCTAAATAGACAGTTAATGTATCAAAAGATTTAATATTTTTTAAAAGTTTATTTAAAGTACGCATCCCCCTCCCAATGTGGGGCTTGAACTTACTACCCTGAGATCAAGACGTGCAGGCTCTACTGACTGAACCAGCCAGATGCCCCAGATTTAATATTTTTGAGATATCAATTCTTGCTCAAATAGATCGGAGATTCAATATAATTCCAGGCTTTTTTTTTTTTTTTTTTTTAGAAAATGACACGATGATTTTAAGATTCATGTATATGGAAATACAAAAGTTCTGGAATATATAAACACTTTCAAAAAAGAACAGAGTTTTTGGGCTTACCTTATCTGACTTTGTAACTTATTTATAAATCTCCAGTAATCAAAACAGGAAAATATGATAAAAAGATAGCTCAACTGAACTGATAGAGGTCCAAAAATAAACTGCACATACATGCACGACTGATTTTGGCTAAGATACAAATGTGGTGAATGCAGTGGACAAACAGCTTATCAACAAGTTATGCTGAAATATTTGGATATCCATGCGCAAAAAATGAACTTAGGTCCCTATCTCTACCATATACAAAGATCAACTCAAAATAGATCCTAAACGTAAATACAAAACCTAAAACTAAGATTTCTAGAAGGAATAGAAGAAAATATTTGTGAGCTTAAAGCTGAAGAACCAATCCTGAATTTTTATATCACCTTTTGTACAGCAAAGGTGATTGGTTTTATCTATTTTTATCCTGTCATGATTGGATTCTAAATCTTCTCAGCATTCACCTCACTTGGTAAAGACAAGAAGTAGCCTTATCTTCAGTAACCACCTGAGCTCACTCTCCCAAGGAAAGGGTGTTACCATTTCTTTACACTTCATTAGGTCAACAATTCATGATAATGAAATACTGATCAAAGATCTGAGTCTAGGAAGTGGGGGTTGGAGGCCGCATATGCTCAAGGTAATTCCTTAGAAACACAGGGTGGAAGCTGGTAGCCTATATTCTTGTACACGTACCCTGCCACTGGATTTAGTAAAAAACAAAACAAACCCAAAAAACAGTGTATGGTTTCCATTTCTAACCAATATGAGTTCCGAGTTATGTCACCTTAGACTGGTCAGGTATTCTGTTGTACCTGATTATTATATGGATTAGCCAAAGGTCGGAGGCTTAAGGACTGAGCCACCCAGGCGCCCCTGCTCACTTTTTTTCTAACAGGGCCTTTGTGAACATCTAACGATCCACAGAATAAGAGAAAAGTTTTTTGATTGTAAAGCAGTGGGGCAGGAGGAGGAGTGGGAGTGGTGGAGAATTGGAGTGTATATATTATATATATACATACACACACATATAAATATATAATATACATATAAATATATATACACTTTGTAAATTGTAATAAGAACATTCACCTCACAGGTTAAGGTCAACTTTGATAATAAATCCAAAGCCCATTGCTCAACAAATGTCAGTTATTAATTCCATTACTATTAAGGATTTTCTTTTTTTTTTTTTTTTTTTACAGGAAAATGAAGCTCGGAAAGTCTTAGTAACTCATCAGTTCGTCACAGCTAGTCAGTGACTGACGACTGACGTCTCCGGGCTCCAGGTCCAGTCTGATCCCAAAATAGAGGGATAGAGGGTGGTACTCTCACCACTAGGCAGGAGCCTCCTGCGTTTTCCATCAAGCGTGGTGACGGAGCCTGCCGGGCGCAGCACACGACGGTACTGAAATCACTGGAGATGAAGGTTTTTATACATTCGGTGCTTCATCCTTTAATTCCGCGTTTCGGGGAGAGCTTCCACCCGCAGCCAGGCAGGACCGCGCGCGCTCCACAAAGCATCCTCCGCAGGTAGCCCGGGGCGGGGCTCCGCGGGCGGGGGCGGGGCCTGCGGGCGGGGGCGGGGCTCCGCGGGCGGGGGCGGGGCCGGGCGCCGCGGGCGGGAGGTTCGAATCCCGGAGGCTCCGCGGCCGGGCGGCTGCAGGGCTGTTCACCGACCCGGAACTCCCGCGCTCCCTCCGGGGTCCGCCCGCTCCCGCCCGGATGTATCCGCTCCGGGATTTGCGGGCGGCAGAGCTGGAGTGGGGCGGCGGAGCGCGGCTCCCTCGGCGGTAGTCGGGGACCTAGGCGCCCCCTCCCAAGCCGGGGTCCGAGGTTCGGCGTAGTGCAGAGCCCCGCGAGGTGATGCTCGGGGTTCCCACGGAGGGGGGCGAGACCCGGCTCTCCCTGCCACCCTGCAGGACCTGAGCCCCGGGGCCCCCCCAGCGGGGATCTGAGCCCCGGGGCCTCCCTATCGGGGATCTGAGCCCCGCCCCCCACCCCCCACCCCCCCACCCCCCCCCCACCCCGGCGGGATGTGAGGGTCCGACCCGGGCCGTCCCAATTCCGAGGGGCAGGGCGCTGGGCGCTCGGGAGGCGAGCGGCGGCCTCCAGGTCCCCGCCCCGCGGCTGCTGCGAAAGCGCGGACGCGCGGACGCGGTGGAGCGGAGTGAGGGCGCGCGGCGGCCGTGCGCATGCTCAGTACCGGCCGCTCCGCCACGGGGCTCGGCGCGGGGCGGCGGGGCGCGTCCTCCGGCGGCTCATGGCGGCTCCGGGGCCCGGCGGACGGCGGGTCCTGGCAGGTGAGGGCCCTGCGCTCTGGGCGCGGAGTCCGCGGCCGCGGGGGTCGGGGCTGCGCCCGGGTCTGGGCCGCGGGGTCGGCTGCTGGCGCGGGGACCCGGTCTGGCCTTCCCGGAAGTCCGCGCGGCGGCGGCCGGGGGGGGGGGGTGACCTCGGGGGGGGGCTGACCTCGGGGGGGGGGCTGACCTGGGAGGGCTGACCTGGGGCGGGGGGCGATGGGGGGCTGCCCTGGGGGCTAGGGGGTGGGGGGGCTGACCTGGGAGGGCTGACCTGGGGGGATAGGGTGTGGGGGGCTGCCCTGGGGGGATAGGAGGTGGGGGGATGTCCTGGGTCGGTACGGGGTAGGGGAGTGGTCCTGGGGGTGTAGGGGTGGGGGGACTGATCTAGGGGGGCTGACCTGGGGGGATAGGGGGTGGGGGAGATGTCCTGGGGCGGGTATGGGGTGGGAGGGTGGTCCTGGGGGGTGTAGGGGGTGGGGGGGCTGACCTGGAGGGGGCTGACTTGGGGTGGGGGGGATGGGGGGCTCACCTGGGGGTGCTGACCTGGGGGGAAATGGGGGTTGGGGGCTGTCCCCCAGTACACGACTCTCCCTGTCCCATGGGGGTGTCCCTGTGGGGGGGGCTGTCCTCAGTCCAGGACCTTCCCTGTCCCATGGGGGGAGGGTCCCTGAGGGGGGGCTGCCCCCAGTCCAGCACCTTCTGTGTCCCATGGCGGGGGGGGGTCCCTGTGGCAGGGGGCTGTCCCCTGTACGTGAACTGAGCGGTTGGTTGTTTGGTCCTTTACACAGAACATCCTTCACTGGAAAAGCCAAGTGTAGTTTAGGAATCTGGGCCGGGCGGCCGTGCTGAGGGGTCAGCCTCGGCCTAGGAACCAAGTTGTTTGCCCCCAGCTCTAGGAGCCGCGCAGCACTAGAGCAATTTCGAATCGGCTTTTGGTACAAGAAGCTGCAAACCTACCTCTCAAAGTAGATAGAGCGAGAGAGCGCGCCGCGCCGCCTGTCGTCCTCGGAGGGGGGGCCAGGTGTTCAAATACATTCGCGCTGGTACCCTGTGTTTCAGACGTCGTGGCATATGTTGAAGTCTGGTCAGTGAATGGAACAGAAAATTACTCCAAGACGTTTACAAACCAGCTTGTGGATATGGGGGCAAAGGTAAGTCCCCTGACCTTGCTGCGCGACGTTGGTCCTCCGGGACCTCGTGGGACGGGCCTGTGTTTTATTTCGGGAGGTCGTACTTAGAACGTGAGGCCTGAAGGACAGAGAAGACCGTGGGTGAGTAGCGGGGTTGGGGAGGGCGGCCCGTGACATGAACCGTGTAAACAGCAGGGTTTATAGGACAGCTGGTCGTGGGGCACCTGGGAGGCTCCGGGGTTAAGGCCCTGCCGCCAGCTCAGGTCCTGCTCCTGGGCCCCCGGCCCCGGCTCAGCGCGGGTCTGCTTCTCCCTCCACCCGACTCTCCCACTGCTGTGCTCTTTTTCTCTGTCAAATAAATAACTTTAAAAATGAGAGAGAGAGAATAGTTGGCCTTTGGGTGAAGAGGGAAGACTCTAGGCCTGGAAACGTGGTTTCTGCCATTGGCTCCTTGGATGCAGGATGTTGTTGACCGAAGTGAGAAGTACAGGAGCAGGAGAAGGTCTTGGAGGGAAAGATCGTGAGTTTGGGCACATTGAAAATATCTGGCAGACACAGGGAGGTACAGACGTGGGATTGGAGATCGTCAAGGCCGGAGAGTGCGTCGTCGGGCGTCAGGCCTGCGGCTCAGGGGAGACCACGAGTGTGGGAGTGACTCGGTGGTTAGGATGGTAGGGGCTGGAGGTGCAGCCAGCTTACTGTGTGGAGGGCGGGTGGCGGGAGCAGGGACTCGGACAGATGGGGCATCCACGAGATTCAGGAACGCACGTCTGGAAGTCGGAGGAGGACGGACTTCAGAATCTCCAGACAGGTTGGCGCTGGTGGGTGTACGTTAGGTTTTGGGAACTCCAGGGTGTTGTTGAGTGTAGCAGTTTTCAGTGGGACGGGTAAGGATTGGACGTTAGCCCGGGAGTGAAGGAGGTGGTGCAGACGTCTATGCTCAGAGGGACCTGAGCTGTGGACAGAGTGTATTTGTGTGTGTGTGTGTTGGGGGGGGGGGGGACTCGGGGGATGACAGCGTAGGCGGGTGAAGGGAGAAGACGGGTGAACGCAGACCAGGGGTGAGGGTGGGGAGAGAGGCACCCAGGGCATAAAACAGAAGGACTTTCACTCACAGGCAGAGAGGGTGCTCCTAAGTCCTGTCTGGCTGGTACCAGTCCCCACCCTGCTGCACGGCACAGCCTGGGGTGGAGAGTGCTGAACCAGTAGGGGCAGGGCGCCCTGGGACCCCGAGAAGACCCCTTCGGTTCTGGCCCGCGGGTGGGTAGGAGCCAGAGCGAGTTTCCTGGTTTCTATACCTGCTGCCTACCTGGCTAAGAGACCAGGTGCGTGGCTGGGAGGAGGGCCGTGAGGCCCTCACTGCTGAGTGTTAGCATCACACCTCCGCTCTCTTGGAGCTTTCTGCTTTCCATTTTTTATTTAGAAAACTTAGAAACGGAAGAGTGGGACATAGACGCCCAATAATTGTTAACATCTTAGCCTCCTTGCTTCGTCTGCATCTCTTCTGTACAGTGTATTTACATGTGAAAGTGTTTTTTTTTTTTTCCTAAACTATTTGAAAGTCACAGATAAAATTTGGCCCTAAATCGGTTCACTGTGTATAACCTCTAAGAACAAAGGATTTTCCCGTATGATAAAGACAATTGATCACATCTCAGAAGATTAGCAGTGGTTCCTAATGGACTCGGCCACTGCAGAAAGCTGTGCCTGTGCCAGTGCCAGTGGGTGGGAGGCCGCTGCTGTCTGTACTTGGTTCTGTCTTTACTTTCAGCCCACGGGTAAGTTGCTGGCCGTGTGTCATCAGGGTCTGACGCGGTATTTTCCTGCGCGTTTTCATATATTTATTTTGAGGAGCCTGTTCAAGACTCCAGCTCGTATTCCCATTGAGTATTTCCTTCTCTTCTTGACTTGGAAGCATTCCCTCTATTTTTCACTTGGCCTCGTTGTTGGCCGTATTAATTGCAGGATTTTCTAACTCTGTGGCTGGTCTTTTCATCTTTTTTGTGATATCTTTTGATGATAATTGGAATACAGTTTATTTATTTCTTTACGGTGAGCTTTGTTTGTTGTGTGTCCTGTTTAAAAAAAAAAAAGGCAAATGTGCCTATACCAAGATTATGAAGATTTCTCCTGTGTTATTTTCTGGAAGCTTTATCGTTTTGCCTTTCACATCTAGATTTACTGTACATCTGGAATTGATTTTTATATGTGGTATGAAATAGTTTCATGTTTTTCCACGTGAATATTCTTTTATCTTAGCACCATTTATTGAAAAGATCATCCTTTAATAATTTGAGACCTAGAATTATATTTTCTTTCTTTAGAAAAGATTCACATTTGCCTCAGTCATGGTGTTTTTGGCGCTCATATTCCAAGACTGTCTTAATCCAGTTGCAGGATTGGAGATGATTTAAAACTGGACTACAGATCTTTGAGGGCCTCTATGACTGTTACCCTTACTCCCGGGTCAGCCCTTCACAGATGCCCATCCAAGATGTGAGGGTTTTGCCACACTCCCTTACCCAATTCTAATTTAGTCTAGTTTTTGTTCCTCTTGTCTCCAGAGGCATTTAGAAGTACTGCCCATTGTTTGCTAAATTTGACAAAAAAATGACCGAGTGCTGGGCTCCTCTGGTTGTGTTCATCTGTACCTAGACTCTTAGCTCAGTAATAATCCTTCACTGCTTCAGTAGCTCTCCAGGGCCTTCTGGTAGGTGGGCAGGTAGATAGATAAAGAGTATGTATGTATATTTTATCAAAGCGATACATACATGTTGCTTAAAAGGGCAAATGTGCGATGCCATGAAGTTCATAGTACAAACAAGGAGAAACCAGCAGTCCTTTGCCCTATACTTCCCATTTTATTTTTCTAAGGCAGCTTTTTCTAGATCCATTTTATTTGTTTCTTTTGGTGTTTACCTTTTTATTTTCAAACAGTGTATGTCTATACTTTGATGAAGTTAAATATTGTTAAAAGAATTATGTATTGGCAAGTTCCACTTAATGGAAAGATTACATATAAAGGTCAATTTTTTGACACTGTGAATTTGAACATGCCATTATTATACCTTTCTTTACCTTTGATTGATATTTTAGCTGATTGTAAAATGTTAGGTATATATTATTTTCCCTTGAAGGCACTTCTCTATTGTTTTCTGACTTCCAGATTGCTGTTGGGAAGTCTGATGCCATTGTCATGTCTCACTGTTGGGTGTGATTTATTCCTACCTTCGCTGCCTTACTTTCTCTTTTAATTTCAAATCTTTCTTTACTCCAGCTCCACTGAAATTTCACGATGATAAGCTTAGTAAGGTTCTGTTTTCATTCTCATGCCAGGCCCTTGGGGGTCCTTTTGATCTAGAACACATGCCCTTTAATTTGAGTCATTTTTCTTGAATTATTTTCGGATTTTTTTTTTTTATAGATTTTATTTATTTTTTCATGAGCGACACAGAGAGAGAGAGAGAGGCAGAGATACAGGCAGAGGGAGAAGCAGGCTCCATGCAGGGAGCCCGATGTCGGACTCCATCCTGGGTCTCCAGGACCACGCCCTGGGCTGCAGGTGGCGCTAAACCACTGCGCCACCGGGGCTGCCCTATTTTCTGTTTTCTTTTCCATTTTCTCTATTCCTGTATTACTTTCAACTGTTATTACTTAGGTCTTGGTTCTCCTGATCAAGCTGATGTTCTTATCTTACATCTCCTATTGTGTCCATTTCCTTGTCTTTTTGTTGTTCATGGGTACAGTTTCTCAGATCTATTATTGTCCAGCATTTCTATAGACATTTTTTTTACTTGTGTCATCATATTTTTATTTCCAACAGCTCTTTAGTTCTCTGGTCCTTTAAAAAAAAAATAGCCTCCCATTTTGGATATTCTTTCATGAATACAGTATCTTCTGAAGATTTAAACGAATGTCACTTTCTTCTAAATATATTAAATAATACTTTTTAATTTTAATTACATAAGTTTTTCCTGTGTTGTCTGCTTCCTGTGAATTTTATTTTGTCTTTGATGTACAAGGCTTGTCTAAAATCTCTTTATTTTTGACTCCACTCCCATTCTCTCTTCTACTAAAAATGCACTGCCAGTTCCTGTGCCAGTTCCTACCTTCGCTTCCTTACTTTCCCCCTCTTTTTATCCTTGTGGAGCTCTAACTCGATGTAGAGGGAGCAGAGATAAACACGTGTATAACACACCATCCTAACTGGAGTAGATAGGTTTCCTAAGTGGCATTATCTGTTTATTAGAGTAGGGAGTTCTCTGTGACAGATTCTGAGAAATGGAATTGCTGGGGTAGGGGCTTTAGATGTTTTCCTTTCAACAAATATTGAATAAGATATCCTTTTTGATCAGTTTTACTTATGAAATTGTAAATGGTAATTTACATTTTATCTTCTACCTTTTCTCTACAGGTTTCAAAAACTTTTAACAAACAAGTAACTCACGTTGTGTTCAAAGACGGATACCAGAGCACTTGGGACAAAGCACAGAAGAGAGGCGTGAAGCTCGTCTCAGTGCTCTGGGTTGAAAAGTAAGTGATTTCTTTCTTTTTTTCCTCTAAGTAGCTAGTATTGGTCAAGTATGGAGATATTTCTCATATATCACAGAACTAGATAAAATGTGATTTTGTCTTTACCTCTTATTTGAGCGAGTCATTCACTGTCCTCAGGCCTTGGTTTCAGCAGTTGAAGATGGACCTAGTATAATCCTTAACCCTGTGGAGAGGGAAGGTGACCACATGGCCCTGAGACGTATAGGCTTGGTGTAGTCATGTAGCCACAGGAGGTGAATGTGATGAAGCAGATCATACTTGCATAGGTGCCATAGCTTAAGTACCACAGACAGCATCGAAACAACACACATTGATTTCTCAGTTCCGGCCAGTGTTGGCAGGATTGGCTTACAGATGGCTGTCCTTTCTGAGTCTTTACTTGGTCGCTGTGTGACGGGCATCCTAATCTCTTCTTGTAAGGACACCAGTTGTATTGTCTGAGGGCCCACCCTAGAGGCCTCACTTAACGTTAATTATCCCTTCCAAGGCCAGATCTCCAAATATAGGTGACACCTGGAAAAAAAGAAGGTTTGAACCATACAGGTCCACTTATACATGGATTGTTTTTCAATAACAGCACTGGCAAATTTTTGGAGATTTGTTACAGTTTGAAAAAAACAGATAAACTGCAGCCTTGAAATACTGAAAAAATTAAGAAGTTTGATATTTTAAGAATACAGTATATAATAGCATTGTAACATTGTAATAACGTTACAAAATGTGTAAATTGCTTATTATCGGTAAGGCTTCTGGTAAGGCTTCTGGCTCACGGTAGCCTGTTAGTCATTAAGTTTTTGAGGAGTCCAAAGTTGCATGTGGATTTTTGATTGCACAATGGATTTTTGATTGTTGTTGCCCCTAGAGCCCACATTGTTTAAGAGTCAACTGTATGGTCACATTCTGATGTACTTGGGGTTAAGACTTCACCTGAATTTTGTGGGGGGCATAATTGAAGCCATAAGAGGTGTGGGCAAAGGGAAGTCTTGGATGAGATTGCGGCCAGAGGGATAGTAGGGTGTCAGATGACGTAGGACCTTGTGGAGTGTGATTCAGAAGAATGTATATGGAAAAGGGGCAAAGGCAGAGGCAGGAGAGTGGTTGGAGGCTGCTGAATGATTCAGCCTAGAAGCGTTGCCTGCATCAGGGTGCAGTGATGCGGTCATGAAGAATGGTCAGATGCAGGATGCATTTTTGAAGGTAGTGCCAGACTAGATGATCTGAGGGTTTGGATGTGAGTTCGTAAAGAAGGGGAAGAATCAAGGATGACTGTGATGTGTTTGGCCCAAGGAATTAGAAAGATGGATTTGCTATTTCCTGAGATTGGGAAGGCTTCAGAAGGACCAGGTTTGGAGAGGAGATCATGAATTCCACTTGGATGTGCTGAATTCGGGGTGTTGATTAGGAACTCGTGGGGTGGAGCGTGGAGCCCTTGGCAGAGTTTGCAGATAAACATGTGGGAGACTTCTGTATACAGATGTGATTTAGCCATAATCTGGATGTGACCTCTTCTTGGTGAGTATAGATGGGGAACGGAAGTGTTCCAAGGTTGAGCACCCTAGTATTGGATGTTGAGGAGGAAAACCAGTCAGCATGGGATTCTACAAGTCAGGTGAAGAAAGCTGTCAAGGAGGCGATAGTGATCAGCTCTGGCAAACAGGTTGAGCAAAGGCATGTCCAAGAGGTTACCGCTGGAATTAGCAATGTGGAATCTCTGGGATCTCGACCAGCAGTTTAGCAGATTAGTGGGAGCAAAGCTTGTTCAAGTAGCATTTGGGAAGCAGTGCATGGAGGCTACTGCAATGGGGGAAGAGAGAGCTGGGGCAGTACCTGGAGGGGGTTGTGGAGTGGAGAAGATTGTTTAAGACGGGAGAAATGACAGCATCTGTGCTGACAGAACTGGTCCAGTAGAGGGAAATTTTGCTAATGCAGAGGCATGAGGAGACCTTTACTCATGCTAGTGGCTTATTAAGGGGGCTGAGGGACTAGACTTTAGCACATAAACTGATGGGTTATATCAGGTATATATAGGTTAATCTCACGTATCCTACAGGCTATGTAGGATGGGTTATGTGGGATCAAGGAGAGGAGGGAATGCAGAGTTTAGAGGACAGTTGCTGCTGAGTGAGTAGATGTGGCTTCAGGTCTTGAGGAAATTCCTTCCTGATGCTGTCTTCAGTGAGAGCGAGCAAGATTGTGATCTGAGAATGAGAGGCTTTGGAGGTTTGAAGAGAATAGCAACACATGACGTAGTTGTCTAGGAACTTGGGAGAGGGGGTGGATCAGGGCAGGACTAACAGTTCACTTGAAGATGGTGATTTTAAGTTGAAAATGAGGCCCTGAGCAACGGGACAGGTGTTGATCTAGCAACCTACAAGCAGCAAGGAAGCAGAGTGTTGGTTTTAACTGGGGCTGGATTTTGCCACCATAAAGGGGGTTGGAAGGATATGGGGGACAAGGATAATGATACTGAGGTCTTTCTAGAATACATTTCAGTAGTTTTTAATCTGCTCAGAGAGATTTGTAACTGTCACAACTGTCTAATTTTTTTTTTAAGATTCTATTTATTTTATGAGAGAGAGAGAGAGAGAGAGAGACACCCAGGCAGAGGGATAAGCAGGCCCTATGCAGGGAGCCAGATGTTTGACTCCCGGGATCACACCCTGAGCCAAAGGCGGACGCTCAACTGCTGAGCCACCCAGGCGTCCCACTACTGTCTAATTTAAGAACATTTTCATCACCCCAAAAAGAAGCTCTTTAGTCATTAGCGGTCACTCTGTTGATCTACTTTTTGTATCTCCAAGTTCTCTATTCTTGAACATTTCATATAAATGGAATCTTACAGTATGTAGCCTTTTATATTGGGCTTCTTTTACTTAGAATATTGGTTTGAAGGTTCCTTCATGTTGTAGCTTGCATCAGTACTTCATTCATTTGAGTGGGTGAGAAATACTCCCTTGTATGAATATACCACATTTTGTTTATCTTTTTGTTTGTTTATCTTTTGATCGCAGTTGATGGACATCCCGGTTATTTGTATTTTTGGTTATCATGGGTAATGCTGCTGTGAACATAGGTGTACAAGATTTTCTGTGAATACGTGTTTCTAATTTTCTTGAATATCTATCTATCTGGGTCCTCCTGAGTCATGTAAAGTAAATACATAGTTGACCTTCCAACAAGGTGGGGGCTGAGGCAGCGACTCTTACACTGTTGAAAGTCCCCATAAAACTTGACTCTTCCAGAACTTGACTACTTAGTAGTCTACTGTTGGCTGGAAGCCTTACCGCTAACAAACAACACTATTTTGTATATGTTTTAGATGCTATATTTTTACAACAAAGTAAACTAGAGCAAAGAACTGGTAAGAAAATCAGAGAAAATAAATTTGCAGTTCTGTACTATAAAAACACTGTATAAGTGTGTCCATGTAGTTCAAACCCATATTGTTCAAAGGTCAGCTGTATACATGTAAGGATGGAATTGCTCTCATTTGGAAACTATATATTTTAGCTTTGTAAGAAACTGCCAAACTGTTTTTTTTTTTTTAAATTGGCTATACCATTTTCCATTTTCCAGCAGCAGTGTTTGAGGATTATTATCCCTCTTTATGATTATAGCTAGCATACTGAATGCGAAGTTGTGTCTCAGTATAGTTTTATTCACCTAGTTAGTGATGTTGAGCAGCCTTTCATGTTTTTATTGGCTATTTGTCTTTCTTTGAGAAATGTCTGTTCAAGTACTTTGCTCAGTTTAAACTATTGGGTTATTTTTATTATTGAGTTGTAAGAGTTCTTTATATATTCTAGATATAATATTCTTTTTTTAAAAAAATATTTATTTTTTAAAGATTTATTTATTTATTCATGAGACACACAGAGAGGCAGAAACACAGGCAGAGGGAGAAGCAGGCGCCTCGCAGGAGTCCAGTGTGGGACTCGATCCCGGATCCTGTGATCACGACCTGAGCTGAAGGCAGCTCCCCAACTGCTGAGCCACCCATGCATCCCTAAAAATGTTTTATGTATTTATTCATGAGAGACCCACAGACAGAGGCAGAGACATAGGCAGAGGGAGAAGCAGGCCCTGCGGGGACCTGATGCGGGACTCAATCCTAGGGCCCCAGGATCACAGCTTGAGCTGATGGCAGACACTCAACTGTTGAGGTACCCAGGCGTCCCTATAATATTCTTATTATATATATTACTTGCAAACATTTTCACTCTTTTGCTGAATTGTCTTTTCACTTTTTTTGGTAGTATCCTTTCAAGCAAAAATGTTTTTAACTTGGATTAAGTTCATTATATTTATTTTTTCTTTTGTTGCTTTTGCTTTAAATGTCACATCCAATAAATCACTGCCTAATCTCAAGACATGAAAATTTGCACCTATGCTTCCTTCTGAGAGCTATAGTTTTATCTTTATATTTAAATCTGTGGGTTTTTTTCAAGTTAATTTTTGTACAGGGCATAAGGTAGGGTTTCCCTGTCACTATTTGGTATGTGATTATCCAGGTGTTCCAGCACCATATTTGGGGAGATTGTTCTTTCCCCATAAAATTGTTTTAGTTCTCTTCTTGAAAATCAGTTGACCATAGACACATAGGTTTATTTCTAAATTCTCTGTTCTGTTTCATTGACCTATAGATTTATCATTAATGCCAGTGCTACACAGTCTTGATCACTGTAGCTTTATAGTTATTTTTTTCTTAAATATTTATTTATTTTAGAGAGTATGTACTTGTGGCGAGGAAGGGCAGAGGGGGAGGGAGAGAGAGTCCCAAGCAGGCTAGCACTGAGTGGGGAGCCCAGTGTGGGCTCATGACCCGAGATCAGACCCTGATATCAGAACCTGAGCCAAAACCAAAAGTCTTGCTTACCTGACTGAGCCATCCAGGTGCCCGCCCCACTATGGTTTTAAAATTGAGAAGCGTGAATCCTCCAGTTTTGTTTTTCTTTTTTCATGATTGTTTTGACTACTCT